TTGCTCTACCCAAATGCCTTCATGAACACCGATTTTCACCTCTAAGGATGACTTGTGGGAAGGGTTCACAGATATGTTCACTCTTTGGCTGTCAAGAATAACCTATTCTGACCTTCTTGGCGTTCGAAAAACTAACCAGTGCCTGCAGGGGAACGAATTGTGGTCGTTGTGGTAGTGGTAGTTGTAGTTGTCGTCGTAGTGGTTGTTGTGGTCGGCTTTGTGCTCGTAGCTGTCGACACTGTTAAAGGCATTGAAAAGCGGAAAGGTTTTGAGACCCAAATGTTCCGGGATGATCAATTTGGACCAACTCTAATTGAGAAACTTACTGGGCGTTTCAGCCGTGCTGTCATAGTAGTCATCGTAATTGCCGGGGTAGTAGTCTGGATCCGTGTCCTGTGCTACAGCAGCTTTCGACTCCTGCACATTCACTGATCACATAAGTCGTTCCTAACTTGCGTATCTCAACAGGGTTTGGCTATAGAAAATTTTGGTATACGTTCAGTCCTCCTCCTAGGTCAGGTCACCAGAGCTGCACGGTCACTGAAGCCTAAGGTTAGGCTTGGGTTTAGAGTTAGGTTTATGCTTTAGCCTATTACTGGGACTTGGCTTACTCTTCGAGCAAGTGATTGGTGTCATAATTTCGGTAACCTGACCTGAAAGGGAAACTGAAAAGCACCCAAAATTTTAGAAGAGAGTAAGGATATGTGTAGGGCTGTGATTTGATTCGCTGCGAAGATCGTGGGAGTGACAGCGCAGATTTTCTAACTGACGTTCTTGGTCTGCGTCAGGGCATCCCCATTGCAGCGACACGGCGAATCCGGAGCCTTCCATAGGGTCCACCCGTGCCTTATAAATGCGTGGGAAATGGCTTTGAATGGCCCTGAATGGAAGGTCCCTCAATAATCATTTCACGTTAAGAATTCGTTTCCCTTTTTGATCATGAAGGCCTCCAATATCTCTGAAACACCAACTAAAGAAGGCGTTTGGTAACTTTTTTTACGTTAAGGGAGGAGTGGTGCGCGCGCTTAGAACTAATCTAATGCAATCTGATGCAAAGTGACTCACTTACCTAACAAATTCGCGCAAAGCAGAAATCTGTACCTCTTGACCCACAAGCGTTATCAAAATAGGTTTGAGAGCTATAGTATTTAGTATTTTGTTTCACTGCTATATACAACTGCAGTCGCCTATGGTGGTCGGTCGAGGAGGGTGGGTGTAGGAGAACTGACGAAGTTGGAGGGCGAAACAGGGTCAGCCATCGTACAAACTCACTGTGAAGTCACCCGAATTGGAAATTTTCAGTCAACTTCCTACTCCGCTTTGTCCGTGACACATCGTACATGGGAGTGTAGTTCGCAAGGTTGGAAAGCGACTTCCCGCCCTTCGCGCGCGTGACTTTTACGGGAGTTCCAGGCAGGGTCAACCTTACGTTGTATCTGCTTCACTCGCGTGAAAATACCTGTGAGTTTGTGATGTAAATGGAGTTTTCGTAAAATTTTTGAATTTTTTTGAAAAAAAATTTTGGAATTTTGGTAAATTTTTACTGTTTCATAGTGGCTATATACCCCCGCTCGACGGCATTTTTGGAGGAAAAAGTGGGCGGAGTTTGGTGGGTTGAGTGGTACCAGAATTAAATACTATAGAGAGGAATATGGTGGTGGTGGTCGAGGGTCGAAAAGGGGGTCGTACCAAATCCACCTTGGGGGAGGGGGGTCGTAAAAATTTTTGAAAAAGTAACAACGATAGGACTGACCCTGGTTCCAGGTCCACTAGTGATCAAATGTGGACTTGTGGTTCCCACAACGAAGAAAGATCCGGGCCGCAAAAAGCGAAAAAGTCGCTTTCTGTCCTAGCGGACAACAAACCGTACGTGGTAGTGTGGCAGAGAAAACAGTGGAATTTCCCACATTTTTATACAAATCGATGAAGATCTTGTCGTTGGAGCAAAAAATTTTAAGTAGTCGCTCACCGCTAAGAGTAATAGCAGAAGAGCTTGCGTTAACATCATGGAAAAGACGACGTTACTGCGGCGTTGCCTCCCATTTATATACGATCGAAAACATTTGAGTTGGCTTTCATAAGAACACCAACAACACCTTTTGTCGAATCCAGTGGAGCATAGGGTTTTTAGGCACTCGGGCAGCGTTTTGGTAGCTGTGATTTTTTGATTAATCAATACTAATCATCGAACATCCACCACAGCTCTAACTGTGTTGCTACTGCTCTTACTATCTAGTGGCAACGTACAAAGTAGATTTTCGGGAAATTTTTAGCCTTCAAATCTGTGTAAAACCTTCAAAGGCACCCGGCCGAGCTTTGATATCCGTAAAAATATTGTATCTATAATTCCATCTCAGGTCGTCCAACAGAGCTGCATTTTGGGCCATTAACGTCCAGGATCGACTTTCTTATTTTTGTTCATTTTATTTATCTATACGCTACATAAAGTAGACGTGAGAAAACAAAACGACAGCATGCCATACTCAAACCCACTACAACTAGGTACTGTGTAACTCAACACTCCTCTCTTTGCAAGCTGTTTAAAGGACGAATTCACGATGAAAAAGCAACCCATTTCAAATTAACCTAGGGATGGTGAGTGGTACACGAAAGAAGGAAGAACCATGAGAAACGGCCCAGAACCCGAGAAATGGGACCCCTTCCTTGCCCGTTGATTTGAGCATTGATGCGACTCTCATCGCTGTGCCCTCTTCAACACTACGCTCTCTCAGCTATCTAATCACTCGCCACGTATAGAACTACGGCGAGTGATCAGATGATCGGTGGGCGGAGATCGCCGGACCCGCCAACTTTGAGCCATGAATAGGTCGCCGAAGGTCA